ATTGGCAGTAGAAAGATGTTTTGCAATGGATAAAATGCTTTGCTAAAATGTACTTTTCTGGCAGCAGTGTGGCTCAGCGTAGAGTACTTGCTTAGCATACAGGGGACCCTGGGTTCAATCCTTATCACTGTAAAATAAATAAAAATAAATATGTGTGCTCTTCAAAGTGGAGTCCAGGAGCACAGGCCCAGGGAGGGGTCCTGGGTTTCATGACTTCTCTTCACACTCCTGGCTGACCCCGACCATGTTCTCCTTCTCTGTCCCTTTCTCTCTCTTCCTTCTTCTTTATCACACCCCCTGCCCCCTACTCTCTCTTCCTCTCCTCTGGACATCACGCTGCCATCTGTCATTACAAGGGACTCCTTGTTAGCAGTCACAACCTGCTTCATCCTCCCTGAGAGGAGCTTTTTTTTTTTTCCTGTCTTTACAGCATTCTGTTCTGCTTGTCAGTTTTTAAATGTGCTTAATTTTCTTGATAATAAAAAGAATTGCAAAAAATATGCAGTGAACTCTAAAGACATACAAAGAAGCACCCTAAAGCCTGACATCTTCTAGATACATAAAATACACCTTCAGGAGCTTGCCTCTTTCCCTTTAAATACAATATCACAACACCACCCACTGCAATTCCTTCTTGTCTTTTCTCTAGGTGTACCCATTGGGTTCAAATACAGGCAGCTGCTCATGTTCAATCACTTTTTATGGCAACTGTATGTTATTCAAACAAGTAAATTCACACAGTCTAGACCATATTCTGCATATAATTTTACACTACATTCTTTTAATGTCATTACAGTGCACCACTTGCCCATGTATTTCCAGATTCTTGGGCCCTTTGTGAGCTTGCATTAACAGCACAAATAATTAATGAGCATTAGCATGCCACCTGGGAGCCCTGCCCTGTCAATCCGTGGAGCAATTCAACTGGTGCCCAGACCCCCTGGGTGTAGATGTGCACGGCCATCCTCTGGGCTTCTTTCATGAAATTCTTCCTATCAATGCCCTCGCCAACAGCTGGTGTGCAGAGCCCTGCACCAGATCTTCTGCCCAGATGGCTGTTTCTGAGTCTCCTGCTGCTAACTGTACTCCTTGCTCACCTCTCCCTCCTCTCATGTGGATCTGGCTCATTGCTAGTGGCATATATTTAGCATGTGGCACATCTTCCTCTCAAATGAAGCAATCCATTGATTGACTGACACTTCATCATGTCTGGGCGTGGTATAGTCTGCTAGCCCATGCTGTTGACAGAAAGAGCTTACTGGTGCTTTACATTGGGCTGCTGATGGGATCCAGCACCTGGGCCATCAGCTCAACATCTCCTCATCCAGCAGAGTCCCAAGGAGTGCGGGCAGCATGTGGTTCCATTGGATTGTGACCTCCTCCTCAGCCATCTGCATGGGTGCTCTCCAGACCAGACTCCGTATCTGACCTTGGCACAGCCCCTATTCCCAGATGGGCCTATTTTGCTGTAGATCTCACTTGGTATACCCATAGACTAAGAGGATTCTATATCCATCCAAAAGGTCAATTTGCATAAGATTTGGGAGCCTGCGATATAAGAGCAACTGTCACTGCTGAGAATATCGCCATGTGACCCCAGGTGCAATGGATTAAAAGGATGGACTTTAACAGTTTGGTCCTCAGAATAAAACAGTAACAAGAGACCAGCACATCGAAAAGTAATCGATAACCTATAAATGTGTCAAAGAATAGAGAAAATAAGGCAAAAACAGACATAAAATGAAATAATAAGGCACTCTTGCTGTTATCCATTAAGGGTAAACAGCTACACAGAGATGTACTGGACCATAACCTAACACCCTGGCCCGGAGGTCAGATGGACTTGCTGATCCTGTTACAGTTGTGCACAGGGCTGGGCTTGTTTTCTCTTCTGTAAAATCAAGCTAAAAATGCCCACTGTATGGATGTGAGAGATTAAAGGAAGAATGGACATGTGCAAAAACAGTGACCACATCTGAACTTGCTCTTAGCAGCTATTGCTAGACTTATGCAAAACAAAAAAATCCATTTGATTTTTATGTATTTTATTACAACTACATTGACATTCATAAATTTTAAAGAAAAGCTCACATAGATAAAAATTTTTTTAAAAATCCACTACCAGGGGCTGGAGAGATGGCTCAGTGGTCTAAAGCACCTACTTAGAACAAGCTTAGCAAAAGCATCAGGGACCGCGGTTCAATCCCCCAGCACCACAT